CCTCATACCAGACTGAAACGACAAGAAACCGCTCGACGTTTCCGACTACTTCAACACTTACTAGACAAACGCTCTAACCTTCCAATCAATTATAAAAGACTGATTTACATGACTATAATAAGGCCTATTTGGACTTACGGGGTTGAGCTATGGGGCTCCACCAAGCCTTCAAATTCCTCTCGCATACAGTCCTTGCAATCCAAAATCCTTCGTAAAATCCTCAATGCTCCTTACTTTGTTACAAATAAAATTATCCATAATGACCTTAATGTTCCTTATGTATCAGATTTGGCCCAATCCAGATATCTGTCCTTCCATAATAAACTTCATAACCATCCTAACCCTCTTGTCTCTAACCTTGCTTCCTATTCGATTCCTGATAACTCTCCGAGGCGTCTGAAAAGAAGATGGCCACGTGATCTTCTAATATAGACATATTATTAGAGTGCTACCAATGGGTAGTTTCTCAACATGTGTTCCATGTCTTTATACCAATGTGCAAATTTACTAGATGTATTTTTTTGTATACAGTTGTAAATATCATTTAAAATAAATAAATTAAAAAAAACTGATTTCGAGGCTAATTCTACTTCGGTGGTACTTCGATTTCTGAACGAAATACTTCCAAATCAGCTTCCACAACTTCCCCCTCCAAGACTCAAGTGTTGAAGTAGGGATATCGTTCCCCCAAGTGTCAACGTTGTCGTCTTAGAATTGAAGATGATGAAATTGAGAAAGAGCTCGAACCTACAATTTACTCATATAAAAAGAATCGCTTTTTATGGCCTTGGCATTCGAGGTGCGGTCTTAAAAGCAACAAGTCACATTTTAATAGTACTGGCATGACAGAAATTAATCAGGTCTGAAATTAATCCAGGTTTTAAACTTTTTTCTGACCAAGCGCTTAATGCTTATACCCCGATCGTCTATAGTCAAATCCCTGAGAAAGAATAAATGAAGATGAAATATATGGCTATTCAGATTAATTTTATTTTGTTCAATTTTTAAATCGCCAAGAGAATCTCTTTCTCCATTATTTTAACTTGAATTTATGACAAAAATAAAATATTTATACTTAGCTTTAACAAACATTGATTTTTTTTTTCGTGGAAGTAGATTGAAGTGAATTTTCTACGAACAAGGACTGCGTTGCGACTGGAAGGGAATAAATATTATTGTTTTTTTCTTCTTCATTACAAATGGTAGAAAAGCTTTTTATTCCTACGTGGAAGAATTATTCAATTTTTGTCTTAAATTGTTTACTGGAGTTTTCAAGTTTCAGACATCAAGTAACAACTTAGGTTACTTGTACCCCGATTGTCTATAGTCAAATCCCAGTGAAAGAATAAATCATAAATATGATTTTCATAACGTTTTCAGAAATATGTCTAACCTTAAAGGTTTCTTGTTAAGTTCATTAAATTATCATTACGTAGTTTCTTAGGCACGGCTTCAAAAACCATTCGATCGATTTGGCTTAAAATTGGAAGACAGTGCTTGGTGAAAAAATGCTGCTGTCTTAAGTTTATCAAATTCTATCCTCAACACATTCTCGGATATGTGCAATCGTATTTTTCTCGATACGACCAGTATTTTAAAAACGGCTTGATCGATTTAGTTCATGGTATGAGGGAGTTTGGGAAATAGTATATCAATGATTTATTGCCAATTTAATCAAATTCCAATAAAAATCAAATACTAATATACCAACATGTTAAGAAAACAATGGCTAAGAAATGTGTTAGGCAATACGATGGTATGCATAGACTTTAGGGGGGATAGAGGGCCCTTCATCATTCCCAAAACTCGTACCAATCACTACAACTTATATTTAACTGATATAAAATGTAATTATCGTGTTATTAAAAATTATGACACTATAATGAGCTATTATAATTATATTATTTCTGATCTTTGGTATTTACTATTTGATGCCAAGAAATATTTTTTAAAAAATTGATGTAAAATAGTTTATTAAAGAAAATTGACTCCGACCCCCAAAATGGGGCTAAAACGTTGTTCATTAAAATAAAAAAAGAATTGGAAGTGTGAAACTTAACAAATTGGTGTACATTAAAACAAACATTAAAAAAAATAGTAAACACAATATTTCAAAAGTTAAATAATAACTAAAATTGCTCTTCCTATAAGTTAAATATTATTAAATTAAATTATTAATTATCCTTTTCTTGTTAGTATGTTTCAACTTGTAGGCATCCCATAATTAAAACGACAATGGTCTAACTAACCACAGGGTTAAATATAAGTTGTATTAAATTGTTGGATATGCTTGGGACTTGGACTATTTTTAACTTGGACTATTGGGACTTGGGGCTATTTTTATCAGAAAAAGTAAGTTGTAATTCCTTACTAAGAAATTTATATAAATCTATACTTATCTTTATATTACTACTAGTAAGGTATCAATATTCAAATGCTTTACTTTTTTACTTACATCGCTTTAAATGGTTCAATAATAAGTAGTTCTTAGATAAAAAATGGATCATTGTCAGTCACAAGGAAAAAATTAATTGAAATTTTTTTGACAAATTTAATTATATTAATATAGTAACATTACAACCTGCTATCATCTAAGGAACAACTTCTATAAATGCAAAATATAGTATGATAAGTTCTGACAAAGCTAATTGACTTACATAGGCTTTCTGTCTTTCTATTTTAGCTATGATCATTAGTGTTGCCCAAATGCGAGACCGAGACGAGTCTTGGTCTTGCAAACTCAGTCTTGGTCATGATCTTGGTCTTGCGCAAGACTCTCGCTACGATCTTGCAGTTACTTATTAGCTAATTACTATAAAGATATTACTGTATTTTTTTCGATAGGAGGAACCTAACTAAGCCCAAATAAAAAATTAGAGGAGTTGAATGCAAAACTATATTAGTTATATCAATTATTAACATATAGTAACTAAGATTGTCAAGTATTAGTAACTATTTTGAATACATTTTTATTTAAAAAATCGATTTTTTTTACCAGTCCTGGTCTTGGTCTTGCAACAGTTAAGCGGCCTTGGTCTTGGTCTCGCAAAGTGCAAGACCAAGACCGATTTTGGGCAACACTAATGATCATATAAATAGTACTATGAACACTGACAATACAAAATATATGAGGACACTGACTGATACACTTGATAAGGATATTGCAGCAAATTTGATACTTTCCAATAGTTTTCTATGATACTTTGGAGGTTTTAATTCTATTTAATTTTAATTAATATCATTTTTGTAGTCTTAGTAATCATTTATTTATTATATTAATAATTTCTTTTTCGATAGTATGGTTTATTCAATACCATAGAAGTATTAGTTTCAATAATTATTTGATACTTAATACTTTCATTCCAAGGGATTGAACTTCAGTAGAACGACAAGAGCACCTGCCAAGACGGATATTAACCGCACCTTCCGTGGTTCTAATTATAACTGTCACCGCCAACGGTTCCTGATAGTTATTGGAAAATGGAGGTGAGGCTATAGTTATTTACTTTTGGGTAAAAATTAGTTTGTAACTACTATTTTTATCATGTTTATAAGTTATTCTAAAATAATTTCAGCAATTAAATTTTAAAAAAATATTGTGAATAAAATCAACGTTCTTGTTTTATTATTTACTAAATATCCTTAAAAGGGTATGAATTAGTAATATATATATATATATATATATATATATATATATATATATATATATATATATATATATATATATATATATATATATATATATATATATATAAATATTAATAGTTGATTGTAGTGAATAATTGAAGAGACGTTGGTTGGAGTCCTCAAGTACTTAAATTTTACTTTACTTTATAGGCGTTCTATCTAAGGGCTGCCTAACATAGTCAGCTTAGAGCTCCAAACGCTTCTATCTCGCCAATCCTCTTCCTCCAGACCTCGACCCGCCATTTCCTCTTGGACCCTTTCCATCCACCTGCTTCTGGGCCCTCCACGATCTCTCTTTGACATTCTTCTCACATGATCGTACCATCTTAGGCGGCGTGCCTTGATCTTTTCATTAACTGCTGAACCCATATCCATTCTCCGTCGAACTAACTTATTCTTAATTTGATCAAGTCCGATAAGACGGAGACACCTTCTCAAGTAATCCATCTCGACCGCTTGCACCTTTGAGTACAAACGGGAGTTAATCCATGAGTCCAAGAGTTAGTCCATGTTCCACTGTAGCTGAGAATATTCTACGCTTGTTCTCAGTGGAAAGCTGAGTGTGGAGTGGCCGAATGGGCTAAAGCGAGTTACCAGGCAACCAGATAACCGAAGTTATGATTAAGTGCGAGTTCGCTTCCCCGTATCGGAGGGAATTTTAAATTCCCCGCCCTCATCCTCCTGTCCAGGAAAATCTCGTATCCCCTAAAAGGCGGGGCAGGGAAGAACAAGAAAAAAAAAACACTGCGTGTTCCAGAAAAGTGGATGTAGGATTCGGGTAGCCTTACGGAATATTAGCCAGGTTGTTGAAAATATTAAATTTTTTGCGGGCCTTAATTGCCTACAGCTGCTTTATTCGTAGCAAATTTGGAACTTTGTGATGCTCTGATATTTTCGACGCTAAAAAGTATTTTGTATTATCTTTATAACCGTCAATAAATATGTATTTCAAATTCTTGTTTTTATTTATTACGTTTATTTATTTATGTTTTAATTATTGTGGTTTAAAAAAAACTGAAATATTTAATCTAATTTCTAATCCTTCTGTCTCTCTACATATATTATTTTAATTCAAAAACTTTTGTAGGTTTATCAGTGCAATTGAACATTTTAGATGTTTTATTGTGTATTCACTCATTTTTTATTTTATCACTGCATATTTTGTTTCATATTTTACAGTTTTTATTTCATATCATATGGCATACTTCGTCGGTTATACTGCATAAAAATCCAGGTTCTGGCTTATGCCATTTTAATATTTGATTTTCGTTGCAGAGTTTCAGAAGTGAGATCAATTTAAAAAAATCGCCAACTCACCTGAAGTCATGGGAGCCGCCCGAAGCTCTAGGCCTCACTCCTTCAAACATCATTACAGGCATTGGTCCTTCTTCGGTCTGCAGCTTCCTCGACATCCGGATGTACAGGTAGGCAGTCACGGCCAATGGGAGAACGTACCTGCAATGAATAATTTATTATTGTTGTATTATTCACAACATATAACTATAAAATAATTTTGAATAGTAAATAACAATAAAAGGTTAACAAAAATGTATGAATAAATTTATTACGTATCATTTAATATCAGAAGAAACGCCGTTTACTAGAAATGAGAAATTTAATACTTTTTTTAACCTTTTGCCGGGACATTTCTGGCATTCCGAGGAAAATTTCAACACTGTAGAAGTTGTCTTTCACACTTTGGCCAAACTCAATAAAGTCCTTCAAAGGACCCATTATAGCTTCCTCGGTCTTCTCAACTTCCTATTTTCCAGGGAACATAACTGAGAAGTCTTTCCGATCGTTTATTACTCACGAACCATTCACTTTAAGTGACCATAACACGTTCCTACTAGCGATCGATATCTTCAAGCAGCTTCGTTCATTGATTCACTATTCTTTTTTTCATTATTTTTCACGCGAGTGAGGCGAGAATCAGGACAGTATATCCTTTTGCAGTTTCGTTTTTAAGTGGGGAGACTTCTCTTTTTTTCATTAGTTTTAACATAAATTTATAATATTTATTTATATATATATATTTTTTTTTGTCTATCAAAAATATATGTGCGCCTGTCAACTTAATGTTGACAATCAGCAAATGTGATGGCGATGCATGATACAATGACATGACAACAGGCATGGGAAAGTACTCAGCAGTACCTCTTCCCTAACTTGTTCCAATTACTTAGGTTGTCTAGGAAGGAGATCCCTCATCCAACGCCTTTTTAGTCTCCTCCTCATGTTCTGAGGTATGTCAGCTGTGAAATTGATAAATAACTTCCTCCAGATAACAATGAGTAAGAATACACAGAACGTTTAGATCTAAGAGAGTTCTGCGCATGCGTTAGCCTAAGTTAAACATACGTCAGGTCATCTCTTACAAAATTCTTCATTAATAGTGGCAGTGTTCAACTTTAATGTGAAACAACAGTGTTACCTGTTATATTAACAATTAAGTTTGTTACTGAACAAAAGAATAAGGTGAGTAATCACTTATTTACAGCTCAATAGTGAACAGTGTAAATAGACCTCAGGTTAGTTACTGATAGCGGCCGGCCATAACATCGCTAATCCCACCAGTGGGCTCTGGCTCTCCGTCCAAGGAGGTTCTGTGCCGATCAGTCCTCTCTAAGCACGCGTATATATTTCCGTGTTTAAAAAAAAAAAAAAATTTTGTTATCACTTCTCATTTTACAATTTTTACTATCACTTATAATATGAAATGCGATATTATCATATGCTAATGTCGAGCAAGGGTAAAAATACTAGATCCAGGAGCCTCGATACTACAATGAGTTCTCCTATTAAAAAAAGAACAAGGCGTTCGAAAAGAAATACTCCACCAGCCACACCAGGGAGCTCTGTTGAAGAAGTGGATCCCCAACCTGGTACCTCACAACAACAAAACAATCATGAGACAACTCAGACTGGTGAAGAATCGCCGTTTTTTACTCAGAACCCATTTCAAGTGCTATCTAATACACAAAACGAAGAAATGGAAGCAGCACCCACCCCCAGGGAACCCAAACCCCCACCAATATTCCTTAGGAATATTAAAAACTTTCAGTTAATGTGTCACCAATTGAATAACCTAGTGGGCTCAGGAAAATATTTATGCCAAAGCCGCACCAATGACACTAAATTAATGCCCGACACTCCAGAAACTTACAGAAAAATTATAAAATATTTATCTGATACCAAGGCGGATTACCACACGTATCAACTGCGTCAAGAGAGGGCGCTCAGGGTCGTTATCAGAAGACTGCACCCATCTACGCCAACTGATGCTATAAAAGAAGAGCTCGTGGGTATGGGATTCCATGTTCGCCAGATAGTGAACATATTCAAGGAGGATAGAGAACAGCCTGGAATAAAAAGTAAAATACCGCTCCCACTATTCTTCGTTGACCTTGACCGAACGCCCCAGGTCGAAGACATCTACAAGGTCACACGCCTTTATTACACCAGCGTTGTTGTGGAAAAGCCTTACACCAAGCGCGATATCGTTCAATGCCATAACTGTCAGGCTTATGGCCATACGAAAAGATATTGTCATCACATTCCTAGATGTGTGAGGTGTGGTGAGCAACACAAAACAGAAGAATGTAGGAAGTCTAGAACTTCACCTGCAGTATGCGCTTTATGCCACCAAGGGCACCCTGCCAACTACAAGGGTTGTCAAACATACAAAGAATTAAAAACAAGAATGTACGCAACTCCTAGAGAAGAAGGGACATCCAGGCCACCAAGACAACCCTCTAGAACAGTGAACGGAAGAGTGACCTATGCTCAGATGTTCAAAGGAGACACTATAAACACTCAATCTCAGGCCCTGCCACAAGAACCTCAACCTCGAGAATTCACAAATCGACCTCAAGACCCACATCCCTCCATCCCTGAACCTAGGTTCAATACCCAGACATACATTCCTCCTCCTTCCAATTCCACTGACCTCACAAGCCTATTAACTTCTTTCCTCTCTGAATTTAGATCCCTTATCACCCCTCTTATTTCATTACTTACCAATGTTATATCCAACCTCATTCCACCGCCGAGAAATCCATAAATGTCCTCAACCAAATCCCTTTCCATTCTCCTATGGAATGCGAATGGTATTCGAAATCACATCAACGAACTGACAATCTTATTACATGACAAAAACATCGACATAGCACTAATAACTGAAACCCGACTAACCAACAAACGACAAATCAACGTTCCTGGCTACAATATTTATAGAACCGATCATCCTGATGGAACAGCACATGCTGGCACTGCTATAATTATCCACCGATCTCTCTCCCATCATTTATTTCCCTTACCAACCCATAATTTCCTACAATCCACTGCTGTAATAATCCAAACTTCCCTTTACCCAATAACATTAGTTGCGGCATATTCCCCGCCTAAAATACCCATTTCCGAATCCCAAATAATTTCCTTCCTGAATTCCTTAGGACACCATTTCATCCTAGGTGCAGATTTAAATGCAAAACACCAACAATGGGGAGCCAGATCCACAAATTCCCGAGGGCGAACACTGCTATCTGCACTTAATTCCCATCGCAGCAACATCCTTTCACCTAATACTCCCACATACTGGCCAACAGATCCCAACCGCAATCCCGACCTTCTAGACTTTTTCCTACACAAAGGTCTAGGATCATTACACTGTTCCATTTCAAGGCTTGATGATCTTTCCTCAGACCACAGTCCTATAGTCCTAACCGCTTCCACATCACCCATTCCTAAATCATCCTCTCCTTCATTTATCAGGGGACCAGTTAACTGGAACCTTTTCCGTCAAATATTGGATGATAATATAGACCTCAGAGTTTCCTTAAAAACACCTGAAGACCTTGACGATGCAGTGGACTCCTTTACTAAGCTGATCCAGCAAGCAGTTTGGACTGCATCCTCACCTGATCGTCCCAAAAAACACCTCAGTATAAATCCTCTACCCCAAGACCTATTGGACCTTATCCATAGCAAACGATGCTCTAGGGCCCTCTGGCAAAGAACCAGGCATCCTGATGACCGGAAATCGTATAACTATTATTCCAAACAGGTAAAAAAGAAACTGGATATCTTTAGAACCCAATCCTACAATTCCTACCTTTCCTCATTAACATCTAGTGATAACTCCCTCTGGACTGTAACTAAAAAAATCCTTAAAGTCCAATCCATTTCCCACCCCCTCCGCCGTGATGATGGTTCCTGGGCTTCGTCAGATGCGAATAGAGCTGAAGAGTTTGCTAAACATCTATCCTACACATTCACTCCCCATCCCGAACTCCATCCCACCCACACTGCTGAAGTTAAAGAATTCCTCTCTTCACCAATTCCTCTCTCTCTACCTCCAAAACCTGTTAACCCCTCTGAGGTCAAATTCCTCATAAACAAATTAAAACCCCGAAAATCCCCTGGATATGATCTCCTCACTTCACAAATCCTTAGACAACTTCCCAAAAAATCAATTATATTCCTGACCTATCTATATAATTGCATCCTTCGTACTACCAACTTTCCCTTGATGTGGAAACACTCCATAATCGTGCTGTTTCCAAAACCAGGCAAACCCGTTAATAACACATCATCCTACAGACCGATAAGTTTACTCCCTATCCTCTCAAAAATCTTTGAAAAAATCCTCCTCAAACGCATCCTACCCATACTCGAATCCCACAACATCCCTTCTCATCAATTTGGATTCCGCTCAAGACATTCCACTGTCCAACAAGGCCTTCGTGTTGTGGACCATATATCCTCTGCACTTGAAAACAAGCAATATTGCACTGGTGCCTTTCTGGACGTAGCGCAAGCTTTCGACCGGGTGTGGCACGATGGCTTGCTTTTCAAGCTCAAAACCCATTTACCCCAATCCTTATACCTAGTCCTCAAATCCTATCTCTCAAATCGTTCCTTCCAAGTCCGTTGCGGCACCGAATTCTCCACTTACTATCCAGTTGAGGCTGGTGTTCCACAAGGCAGTGTTTTGGGTCCAGTTCTCTACATCCTTTTCACTGCCGATATCCCTCCAAATCCCGATACCTTCCTAGCTACATTTGCCGATGATACTGCCATTCTATCCTCCCACTCAGATCCTCAAATAGCATCTCAAAACCTACAATCTCACCTCTCCTTGATTGAGCAGTGGTGCAACGACTGGCGCATTAAAATCAATGAAGCAAAATGTAAACATATTACTTTCACTCTGCGACGCAGATCCTGTCCCACAATCCTTTTCAATTCAATACCACTTCCCTACTCAGATACAGTCCGTTACCTTGGCTTCCTTCTAGACAAAAGACTAACTTGGAACCCACATACGAGACTTAAAAGACAAGAACTTAACCAACGATATGGCCAGCTATATAGACTACTAAGCAGGACATCTCATCTTTCGATTGAAAATAAACTTTAAATCTACAAGACAATACTGAAACCTATCTGGACCTACGGACTTGAACTGTGGGGAACTGCTAAACATTCGAATATCAAACGCATCCAATCCTTCCAGTCCAAAGTACTTAGAACAATAGCCAATGCCCCATATTATGTCACAAATAAGACCCTACACCATGACCTTAACATCCCTTTTGTCCTCGACATCATCCCATCCAGATTCTCAAACTTTCACCAGAACCTTATCCATCATCCAAATCCTCTAGCTCAATCCCTATCCAGCTCCCACCATCCCTACAATCCCCCTCGAAGGTTAAAACGGCAGTGGCCGCGAGATCTATTGTAAATATGCTTCTGGAGTCCTGGCAATGGCCAGCTTCTCCACTCAAGTCCTGAGCATCTGTGGCTCTAGTGCCCTCCTTCAGCCTCCACTGGCTTTTAATACTAGTGATGCGGCTGGAAAAGTGGCACTGGGATCTCTGGAGTCCTGCTTTGCTTTCCACATGTGGGGAGAAAAGGCTGGCTCGGAGATTCCTGGGCGAATGTATATAGGTATGAATGTGTTTAGAAGTTTTTATTTTATTTTGTTTATTTATTTTTTTATTTTATTTTATTTCTTTTTCTATTGATTTACATTTTTTTTATAAGTATTATTTATTTACTTTTATATTTATAGTTACTTCTGTATTACTTGTATATACTGTATGAATGAGAACTTTTAGCCTTAATACTTATAGCCCTCCAACAGTGGCTGATTGTATTATTATTCAATAAAAAAAAAAAAAAAAAAAAAAAAAAAAAAAAGATCTAAGAAATGTCTATAAACAAGAAATTTAAATTACAGATAAAGAAAAATTTAAATATAAATAAATTTTAAAATAAATAAAACTCAACCAAATATTTTTTTTCTATTGGCATTAGATACATTGTAGATCATTTACCACCACAAACAATCTTCTCATTATATGTGTATTTTGGGCTAATTCTTTCTCGTTCTTCATGCAACTCTATTGCATCTTTGTTGATTCGATCTATCCTTTTGGTTGTTGAACGTCCTCGTGGTCTCTCGCCTTCTGTTGAGGCATTCATTATTGTGTAAATTTCCTGATGGATTGCTCCAAGCTACATGTCTACCTTCTTACTTTTATAATATGAAATATTAAATGACCAGTTTCTTTTCTGTTCTGTAAGCAGTTTTTTATTGGTACTTTTTCTCCATGCGTTAATGATTACTCTGATCCCAGTTCTTTCCGGTAATCCTGCGGAGAATTTTTCTTTCAAATCTTTTAATACCTCTGTCTAGGGTGCTCGTTACTGTCTAGATCTTGCAGCCGTATATCAGAGCTGGCTTATTAGAAAAAGAAAGTAAATTTTAGTCTGGGACATTTAGTCCCCTAAGAATAACTACAGTGAACATAAAAATGACAATTGTCTAGTACTATATGAAAATAAAAAAGAATTAGTAAACATTACAATCCAATCTTAGAATTAAAATAAATTAAGTACAAGTAAACATATTAATTTGCAAAGAAATATATATGAGTGTGTTCACATATTTGTTCTGATTAACAATATTATTAACTTGTAAGTCACAGTCATATAACAGTCAAATTAAGGTGTCAGCTCGTAAATACGAAATTTTGTTCTTACATATATTCGGAAGATTAATTTCTTGAGAGGTGGAAGAATGATTGTTGTTTAAATGTGGTTAAAGAAGAGAATTTGCGTATGGAGGCAGGTAAAGAATTCCAGAAAAAGGTAGCACGCATGACAAGGAATGTTTTACAGGAAATTGTTCTATGAGAGGGAAAAAATACGTTTATAGACCGGTATCTCGTGTTAAACAATGGACAGAGGAAAAAGGGGTATACAAATCCCGGAGGTCAGATGGCTTTCTGGTTGTAAAGGTTCGGAAAAGGAAAACACCTGGGCAATATTGCTCTCGGAAAACTGAATAGAGCCACTTCAACTCGACATGCAAATCAGAGACGTGGGAGCGCCTGAGGGATACAAAAATGAATCTAATGAAACAATTCATTAATCTCTTCAATCTGATCTCAAGCCCACCAGACAGTCCACTCCAATGTATACAATGCAGCCATAATCGAAAAAAGAGAAAATGAGTGAGAAAACTAAGGGTATATGAGTTTTTACTGTCATAGAATCACCAAATTTTACGAACTGTTTTAGGGTAGCAATGGATTTTTGGATAATTTGGGAAACATAATTAATACACATATTATTACTGCTAAATTTTTAACAGAAGTATAAAAACGAATAGGTAGTCCTTTGAGGTAGAGAAGGGGATAGATAGTATGGGATGGAATTAATAAGATCCTTGGAACCAATGAGAATGGTTGTGGTCTTCTCGACGTTCAACTTTGAATCATTACTCGTTGTCCAATGATAATCCTGTTTATATCTTCTTGTAGTCATCGAATCACCTCAAGCATTTCAGTAGGATAGAAGAAAAGGTAGATTTGGAGATCGTCAGCATACAATTGGCAATATGAATGGTGGATGGAATCGGGAAGGTCGTTGACGTATATCGTGAAAAAAAAAATTGGAGAGAGCGAAGATTCCTGAGGAATACCACGAATTAGTGAGACAGAGGAGGAAGGGATTTTATTGGGAACAATTACAGTACTGTACACTCTTGATTTCAGATTTATTGAGATTTTTCGTGATTTCAATTTTTTTGTTTCTCCTTTACAAAGAGAAAGAAGATTTACGCTTTTCTATTTTTTTAGATTATATATATATATATATATATATATATATATATATATATATATATATATATATATATATATATATATATATATAAATTAAATATAATCTAGAAAATATCAAATAGATCAAAATAAACTAATAAATTGAAATATGGGTACATAAATCTTTTTACTGTTTTTATCACACTAATAAAAAAAAACTACTGCATAACTACAAAATAATCATATGTTTACGTTGCTTTATTTTATTTTAATTATTTTTCTCCCAGCAACACACTTTTACTCCAAAGTGAATATGTTGATGAAGGAAATATTTTCAATAATTTTTTATAAATTTGTGGTTAATATACCACTCAGTATCTTCTACGAATGGCATTAGAAGGTTGAATAATCAAATGTGGATCATCTTCTAACATTTAACATATGTTACTATATGTGGGGCTGCCATCCATTCCAAATATTCAATTTTTTTTCCTTACCTTCCAGCCGCTTCTTTTTTTATAAAAGGAAATCGTTTTTCCATTATTTTACTACTTTTCCAATAAACATTGTCGACAAGTTCATTCATACTATTAATATTCATTGTGAAAACGGGCCAACAAACGAGTCCACAGAGTTCCTAAGAATTTATTTTTATTATACTAGGGAGTTACCCTCTCTCCTAACCAATATAATGTACATGTTTTCTGTAGTTCAGAAATGTATTATTTTTTATCAATATAAAATGAAAAAAAGCAAGGCTGGGAAAAAATTTCAATTTCATTAAAAATCTATATTATATATCGCGCCTTACAGCCTATGTATATTGTTATATGATTATAATTACTCGTATTGTCAATTTGTAACCATAATGTATATTCAACTTGTCCAGCTTCATATAAGCCATACATCAATTTTTTTTTTTAATTGCATTCATTTGTTTATTTAGAAATATTACATTCTGTCACATCAAGGACATTTATAATAGTGATCAGAGAAAGCACACTCACACTCTAACATCAATTTAAGCCTTTTATTTCTAATATTTTCATCGTACGTTATATTATGCTTTCTTTCCCATTTCATAATAATTATAAGTACATCTAAATATAATATCAATAATATTATATGTAATATAATAGTATATTGTATTCAAGGGAAAAAAATGTCTAGATCGAAAAATAACTAATGTCACCTAGGTAAAATTAAACTACCATCTCCAGACGAATAATACCATTTTCTGTACAAATGTTTGGTCTAATTTCTTTATTCTGTATTAGGAGAGTAGGAGGTTACAGGAGCTGAATACTGTAACGAAAACACCAAGATGTAAATCCCAATTTTGTATTAAGAGAATAGGAGGTGACTGTAGCTCAACACATATGTAACTAAATGAATAGCTGTGTAGTGAGTGCTAATTATAGAGTTAATAGGAGAGTTCATTTACACTCCTAATACTAAAACAAAAATAAAATATGAAAGTCACTAAATACTTTTTTATTAAATTGATGGATAAGCTCTACTCTATATTTAAACAGTACTGCCGGAATAACGACATTTATTGTCTGATTGTGAGAAGATCGTTGTTTTATAATATTCATCTAGGAAAAATTCATGTTTCACCGTGGTGATGTACGCAGGTTTGTGTTTACTATTATAAGTAAGTCATCAAAACTAATTGTAAGTGAAGTGGAACAATCAGTACATTTCAATTACTAACTGGGCACAACAGTGTTTCAATATCCAACGGAAACTCATCTCGAGATCCAATACTAGTTAGATGATAAAGAGGTACTCGCAGCAAACAGGGCAATCAAACGGATATTAGTGCTCTCCCCTTCGCCCAACTTCTCTTCTATCGATAGTAAGCGATAGCCGATATCGAGTTAGCTGATAGCAGAGGTGCCAGCTGTGCTAGTGTCTTCCAAAAACCACTAACGACATGTTTTAATTTTTTTTTTCTTAACCTTACTTTTAAATTAGGATGATCCCAGTCCGCTGGTGTTCCTAAAGGTAGTATCCTAGGTCCTATCCTCTATACAACTTATACAGCTGACATCCCTACCTATTCCAACACTATGATCACCACATATGCCGATGACACATGTATCCTGTCAGTAAATAATGATCCATCAATTGCATCCCAAATGCTTCAATCACACATCATAAATCTTGAAGAATGGTGTAAAAAATGGAGAATTAAAATAAACTCCAATAAATTCCATCAAATTACCTTTACCCTTCGTCGTAAACTAACGACTGCCTGTCCTACAGTTTCCTTTAACAATACTCCACTTATCCCTGTTGAGCAAATCCGATACCTAGGACTCCACCTGGACAAGCGACTAACTTGGGATACTCATACTAGACTGAAACGACAAGAAACCGCTCGACGTTTCCGATTACTTCTGCACTTACTAGAAAAACTCTCTAAACTTCCCATTAATTACAAAATACTCATATACTTGACTCTAATAAGACCTATTTGGACTTACGGAGTTGAGCTCTGGGGCTCCACTAAACCATCGAATTCCTCTCGCATCCGATCCTTACAATCCAAAATCCTTCGTAAAATCTTCAATGCTCGTTACTTTGTCACTAATGAAATTATCCATAAAGATCTTAATGTTCCTTATGTATCAAATCTGGCCCAATCCAGATACCTATCCTTCCATAATAAACTTCAAAATCATCCCAACCCTCTCGTTTCTAACCTTGCTTCCTCTTCAATTCCTGATAACCCTCCGAGGTGTCTGAAAAGAAGATAGCCCCGTGATCTCCTAATGTAGTCATATCATTAAAGTGCTACCATTGGGTAGTTCCTCAGCAAGTTATTCATGCCATTATATCTATTATGTCCAAATTTACTAAATGTATTTATGTAATACAATTGTAAATGTCATTAAGAAATAAAAAAATAAAAAATAAATTAGGATGGTCTTCGATGGTGTCCTGCAAATTCCCTTTGTACGTATCACGGATACATTCAAAGGTATTTTTTGTTCATTTTTCTAATATACCAACATTTTGTATGCCAATTAGAGTGATGGGTCTCTCCTGATGTTTTAATATAATTTAACCTCTGATATTTTACAATGAAATAATTTAAAATAAATCTGGATCGATGGAAAAAAAGTAAAATAAAAATGTAAAAAGAGTTTTCTTCTGTCAAAAGTACTGAATTCCCGAAAAATGTTTGAATACTCTCATTTAAGAGTGTTCATGTTCAGAAATGGGGTATAAAATAAACACTTTTGAGGAGTTTTAATTTGTCAGGTTAAGTAAAAAAATAATTTTTATGGTGATACTACGTCGAAAAATATCAGACTCCGACAGAGTCCGACAGAGTCCGAGGTTTCTTACCTGTGCGCCTTAGTA